AAGACTCATCGTGATCCAGGTCCAGCAGCAAACTCTGTCTATAGGATCAAGAAGTAGAGTCCAGGATGTGCCTGTGCATCAAAATGAAGCTAGGAGAGCAGAGTTGGATGTAGCAGGTGAAGGGGGCAGTAATGCATTTCGGAGCATGCTCAATACGCTCCGTCTTCAGACCTCAGGGCCTATTGAGCATGCTCCGAAATGCATTACTGCCCCCTTCACCTCCTACATCCGACTCTGCTCTCCTAGCTTCATTTTGATGCACAGGCACATCCTGGACTCTACTTCCTGATCCTATAGACAGAGTTTGCTGCTGGATGTCCCACCTGGATCTAATTACCACACGATGAGTCTTTTTAACTATTTATCTTGTAAGTGCAATTTATCAATTGTTTACTAAATAAATTGTCAATACTGCACTTAGAGGCGCCTTTTTTTTTTTTTCTGATTAGTGCTCCCTCTCCAGAGCCCCACTCACCACAGATAATTGACCACCTGGAATACCCCCCTGATGAAGTCATATGACTAAACATGTAGGGCGGGGCTTGATAGCGCTACACTTGTCCTCTGAGAAGGAATTGCTTTTTGCTGGGATTTAAAGTGCCATACACATGGTTTTTATGCAAGTGCAATTTTAAACATTTTTTACCTAATAAATACGGTGTTACGCTATGGAAGTTTCCCTTTGATGTTTTTATGGTGGTGGAGGAGTACTGTGGGGGTTCTGGAGGAGTTTTGTCCCAACAATTGATCTAGAGGTGTTTCCACTATGGAGTCTGTCATCAGCATATAGAGGTGTCAAGACCACACAGACGGACAACTTTCCTGCAGGAGAGCGCTGCAACAACTTGTGCGATATTTGACCTACCATTCCAGGTGATCAATTATATGTGGTGAGTGGGGCTCTGGAGGGGGAGCACTAATTGGAGCACTACGCACAAAGAATTGCTATGGATAAGAAGATTTATTACTGTATCACTTAATATTCACACCGGATGCTGATGGGGGTTTCTTTGGGATTTTTTTTAAACTTTCAATTGTTTTGAAACTTTGATATGTTTGCACATTATTGGGACTTATATATATACACCCTGTTCCAAATTATTATGCAAATTCTATTTAAGTGTCACAAAGATTAAATATTTTGTTTTTTTTCAGTTTAACTCATGGATGGCATTGTGTGTCAAGGCTCTTTTGATCACTGAAAACAATCTCGGACACCTGTGATAATTAGATTGGCAGATGAGCCCAATTTAAGGAAAAAAACTACTAAAGGAGGGTGTTCCACATTATTAAGTAGAGCACTATTTTCAAGCAATATTGGGGAAGAAAAAGGGTCTCTCTGCTGCCGAAAAGAGTTAAATAGTTCAATACCTTGGACGAGGTATGAAAACATTAGATATTTCATGAAAACTTAAGCGTGATCATCGCACCATTAAGAAATTTGTGGCCGATTCAGAGCACAGACGGGTTTGTGCAGATAAAGGCATATTGAGAAAGATTTCTGCCAGATCCATGCATCGGATCAAGAGAGCAGCTGCTAAAATACCATTACATAGCAGCAAACAGATATTTGAAGCTGCTGGTGCCTCTGGAGTCCCACGGACATCAAGGTGTAGAGTCCTCCAGAGTCTTGCAACTGTGCATAAACCTTCTATTCGGCCACCACTAACCAATGCTCACAAGCAGAAACTGCTGCATTGGGCAGAAAAATACATGAAGACTAATTTTCAAACAGTCCTGTTCACTGATGAGTGCCCTGCAACCCTGGATGGTCCAGATGAATGGAGTAGTGGATGGTTGGTGGACGGCCACCATGTTCCAACAAGTCTGCGACGTCAGCAAGGCGGTGGTGGAGTCATGTTTTGGGCTGGAATCATGGGAACAGGGCTGGTCGGCCCCTTTAGGGTCCCCGAAGGTGTAAAGATGACCTCTGCAAAGTATGTGGAGTTTATGACTGACCACTTTCTTCCCTGGTACAGAAGGAAGAACTATGCTTTCCGTAATAAAATCATCTTCATGCATGACAATGCACCATCTCATGCTGCAAAGAATACCTCTGCATCAATGGCTGCTATGGGAATTAAAAGGAGAGAAAGTCATGGTGTGGCCTCCATCCTCCCCTGACCTCAGTCCTATTGAGAACCTTTGGAGCATCCTCAAGCAAAAGATCTATGAGGGTGGGAGGCAGTTTACATCCAAACAGCAGCTCTGGGAGGCTATTCTGACATCTTGCAAACAAATTCAAGCAGAAACTTTCCAAAAACTCACATGTTCAGTGGATGCAAGACTTGTGAAGCTGCTATCAAATAAGGGGTCCTATGTTAAAATGTAATGTGACCTGTTAAAAATGTTTAAAAAGTTAAAATGTTGTTAAAAGTTTGATTGAAATAGCTTTTGATTTCAGTAAATATGTTGCAAACACAACAAATGACAATTTTCAGTTCTTCACAACCTATAAAGTGTTTTGAAACTTACTGTGCATAACAATTTGGAACAGTGCTTTGTAAGCTTTTTATGTTTAAAAAAAATACTGTTATCATTAGGAGGTTTGTTCAATAAAATTTGAATTGTACTCTTAATAGTTGATAACACGAGAATTATGCTGACTGTTATTTACATCAATTATTTAGGTAAATGAGAAAAATATAATTTGCATAATAATTTGGAACAGGGTGTATATATATATATACAGTTGCAAGAAAAAGTATGTGAACCCCTTGGGATTACGTGGAGTTTTGCATGAATTGGGCATAAAATTTGCTCTGAACGTCATCTAAGTCACAACAATAGAAGAACACAGTCTGCTGAACATAATACTACACAAACATTAGATGTTGCCATGGTTTAATTGCACATAACATGTAAACATTCACAGTGCAGGGAGGAAAAAGTATGTGAGGCCCTAGCTTAATGACTTCTCCCAGAGCTAATCGGAGCCAGGAGTGAGCCAACCTTGACTCCAATCAGTGTGATGATATTGGATGTGTTGCTGACAGCTGTCCTGCCCTTAAAAAACACACACCTTTTGGGTTTACTGGTTTCAAGAAGCACTGTCTGATGTGAACCATGCCTCGCAGAAAAGAGCTCTCAGAAGACCTTGATCAATAATTGTTGACTTGCATGAAGCTGGAAAGGGTTACAAAAGTATCTCCAAAAGCCTTGATGTTCATGTGTCCATGGTAAGACAGACTGTCTACAAATGGAGAAAGTTTAGCACTGTTGCTACTCTCCCTAGTCGTGGTCGTCCTGTAAAAATGACTGCAAGAGCACAGCGCAGAATGCTGCATGAGGTAAAGAAGAATCCCAGAGTGTCAGCTAAAGACCTACAGAAATCTCTGGCACATGCTAACATTTTTGTTGACACATCTACAATAAGGAAAACATTAAACAAGAATGGAGTACATGGGAGGACACCACGGAGGAAGCCATTGCTGTCCAAAAAGAATATTGCAGCACATTTGAAGTTTGCAAAAGAGCACCTGGATGTTCCACAGCACTACTGGCAAAATATACTGTGGACAGATGAAAGCAAGATTGAGTTGTTTGGGAAGAACACACAACACTATGTGTGGAGAAAAAAAGGCACAGCACACCAACATCAAAACCTCATCCCCACTGTAAAACATGGCGGAGGGGGAGCATCATGGTTTGGGGCTGCTTTGCTGCCTCAGGGCCTGGACGGATTGTTGTCATTGATGGGAAAATGAATTCCAGAGTTTATCAAGACATTTTGCAGGAAAACATACGACCATCTGTCTGCCAACTGAAGCTCTGCAGAGGATGGGTGATGCAACAGGACAATGACCCAAAGCATACAAGTAATTCAACAAAACAATGGCTGCAACAGCACAGAATACGCCTTCTGGAGTGGCCCAGTCAGAGTCCTGACCTCAACCCGATTGAAATGCTGTGGCATGACCTTAAGAGAGCGATTCACACCAGACATCCCAAGAATATTGCTACACTGAAACAGTTTTGTGAAGAGGAGTGGTCCAAAATGACTCCAGATCGTTGTGCAGGTCTGATCTGCAACTACAGGAAACGTTTGGTTGAGGTTATTGCTGCCAAAGGAGGGTCAACCAGTTATTAAGTCCAAAGGTTCACATACTTTTTCCTCCCTGCACTGTGAATGTTTGCATGTTATGTGCAATTAAACCATGGCAACATCTAATGTTTGTGTAGTATTATGTTCAGCAGACTGTGTTCTTCTATTGTTGTGACTTAGATGACGTTCAGAGCACATTTTATGCCCAATTCATGCAAAACTCCACGTAATTCCAAGGGGTTCACATACTTTTTCTTGCAACTGTATATATATATATATATATATATATATATATATATATATTGTTATATACAATTTCACTGTATACACAGTTTCATGGCATTGTATATGTGGTATTTTTAGCACTATTGTTGTTTTAAGCACCTTGTATTTACTTGATGGTTTATTTAGGATTTAGTCACTGGGGAGGAGGGATATAATTGTCAGCCCACCGGGCATTATAGCACATGCACATCTGTGGGGACTCTGTGTAGTAGGGAGTTAATTCATTTATTAATTACCATATTTTTCGCTCCATAAAATGCACTTTTTACCCCCAAAAAAGGGGGAAAATGTCAGTGCGTCTTATGGAACGAATATGGAGAGGCTGGTCCGGTATTTCCACCGCCACCATTTCAGAATACTGGGCCGGCCGCTCAGCTCTTCTCTGCAGCAGGACCTTACGTGTTCCTTGGTCCAGTGCTGTACAGTCTTCCCGCGCCGGCATCTGTGACAGCCAGGTGCCCACTGCACATGCACGAGGAGCGCTGCACTTGACACATGACAGGTCCCAGAAGACGCCATGCCATTCACAAAGTGCAGCACTTATCGCGCATGCGCAGTGGGCACCCGGCTGTCACAGCCGGGGGCCCACACTAAAAAGAGGACAACTCCATGGAACTGGGACTGGGTACCTGTCAAATTCAAGTACCTACTCCCCTTCCCTCCCCAAAGGTCTGAAGTCTCTAGGTCATCCCCTGTACTGTCTGCAATCTCTGGTCATCCCCTGTACTGTCTGCAGTCTCTTGATCATCCCCTGTACTGTCTGCAGTCTATTGGTCATCCCCTGTACTGTCTGCAGTCTCTGGTTATCCCCTGTACTGTCTGCAGTCTCTGGTCATCTCCTGTACTGTCTGCAGCCTCTGGTCATCTCCTGTACTGTGTCCACAGTCTCTGGTCATCCCTTGTACTGTGTCCGCAGTCTCTGGTCATTCCCTGTACTGTGTCCGCAGTCTCTGGTCATCTCCTGTACTGTGTCTGCAGTCTCAGGTCATCTCCTGTACTGTGCCCGCAGTCTCAGGTCATCTCCTGTACTGTGTCTGCAGTCTCTGGTCATCTACTGTACTGTGTCCGCAGTCTCTGGTCATCTCCTGTACTATGTCTGCAGGTCATCTCCTGTACTGTCTGCAGTCTCTGGTCATCTCCTGTACTGTATCTGCAGTCTCTGGTCATCTCCTGTACTGTGTCTGCAGTCTCTGGTCATCTCCTGTACTGTGTCCGCAGTCTCTGGTCATCTCCTGTACTGTGTCCGCAGTCTCTGGTCATCTCCTGTACTGTGTCCGCAGTCTCTGGTCATCTCCTGTACTGTGTCCGCAGTCTCTGGTCATCTCCTGTACTGTGTCCGCAGTCTCTGGTCATCTCCTGTACTGTGTCTGCAGTCTCTGGTCATCTCCTGTACTATGTCTGCAGTCCATTGGTTCAGAATATTTTTTTTTCTTCTTTTTCTCCTCTAAAACCTAGGCGCGTCTTATGGTGAGGTGCGTCTTATGGAGCAAACAATATGGTATTTAAAATAGTTTTTGGGAAAGGCACAAATAGAGCTTTCTTTTGGTGTAATTTGATCACCTGTGCGCTTTTTATTTTTCACGCTATAAACAAAAAAAGGCCAAAAATTTTGAAGAAAAACAATATTTTTTACTTTCAGCTATAAAAAATATATAGTAAACTCAAAGTTGGTTATAAATTTAGGCCAAAATGTATTCTGCTACATGTTTTTGGTAAAAAAAAATTCCAATACGTGTATATTGATTGCTTTGTGTGGAAGTTATAGTGTCTACAAACTATGGTATAAATACTGCAATTTACGCCATTTTTTCTGCTATACAGCGCTACGCTAGTTTAATGGACAATTGCGCGGTCATGCAATACGGTACATAAATGAAATTTACATCCTTTTTTTCCCCACAAATTGAGCTTTCTTTCGGTGGTATTTGATCGCCTGTGCGGTTTTTATTTTTTTGCGCTATAAAAAAAAAAAGGCTGACAATTTTGAGGAAAAAAAAAACAATATTTTGGACTTTTTGCTATAAAAACATGTCCAGTAAAAAAAAAAATGCAAAAATCAAATTTAGTCATAAATTTCTGCCAAAATGCATTTTGCGACATGTCTTTGCTAAAAAAAAATCCCAATACGTGTAAATTCATTGGTTTACGTGAAAGTTATAGCTTTTACAAATGGCGGGAAAGATACTGGAATTTTTAATTTTTATTTATACTAATAATGGCGCCGATCAGCGACTTTTGGCGGCAATCAGCGACATATGGCGGCGACCAGCGACTTATGGCAGGACTGCGGGACAGCGGCAGACATTTTGACACTGTGGGTGGGGGGAACTGACTTGGGGTCACTGACATCCCCAGTGACACCAATACAGTGATCAGTAAAAAAAAAAAACACAAACTGTACTAATGTCACTGGGGAGGAAGGGGTTAACATTTTTAGAATTTGCAGTGTAAGGGGAGTGTTTTACTAGGGGGCGGGGGGGTGTACTGGACGGGGGGAGGGAGGGGGGAGCTATTCGAGGGAGAGGAACTCTGTAGCTTCTCACAAGCTGTCAGAGAACTGACACAGAACAGGGCTGTGTGTAAGCAATGCAGCCCTGCTCTGTGTCAGCGAACACCGGAAATCGCGGGAAAACGGCTGGTAAAAACCGGGCGTGACCCATCGGCTGACACCCGCTGCTGACACCCGCGGGACAGGTAGGGAGGCGCGCGCCCCCTACCTGTTTTGAAGGCAGCCGTTTTAAAACGTGCTTTTGCCTACGAGTGCCGCCCTGCCACCGTTTATATGCGGTGGCTGGGCTGCAAGTGGTTAAAGCGGCAGCCGGTCATATTTATCAGTTATTGTTTAAAAAAATGTATCACTTAGCAGATGATTGCAGAAGTTGTTCTTGTACTTGGGTCCATATGCGATTCAAAACCTTTTGCATGGAATCCAGAGCAGGAACTTGTAGAACTGAAGGCATTAGCAAAGATATGTGTGGGTGTTTGCAAGAAATGATAAAAATTGGAAACTCCAGGGTTCTGGCATTCTGGTGATTGGTATGGGTGAACCCAAAGCAGAAAAGATAACTAGTTGTCCTGGTAGGCCAACACAAAGGCTTGGAGAAAATCCCTCTAGAGACTAGTTAGTTTTCTCAGTCTGCCCATTGGATTGCAGGTGATAAACAGAGGAGACCTGTGAGAAGACTTACAGGGATTTGCAGATGCCTCTTTGAATAGCAGGATGAATTGGACCACATGATCAGACACGATAGAAGTGAGTATACCAAGGAATCTCAAGATATCTTGAACAAGGATTGGCACCAAGGCAATGGCTGAAGGCAGCAAGGAGAAAGGCACAAAATGTGCTATCTTAGGAATTTCGTCTATGACCACCCAGATCACAGTGCAGCCCTCAATAGGAGGGCTGAACAGCAGTGAAGTCCATAATAACCCATTTCTGTAGACGTATGCTTTTATATGTGGCCTCACGGAAGTGAGTCTTTATTCATGGGGCTGCATATATGTGTACCTCTCTTTGTGCTGAGAACCTCGGGTCTCATACTAATGATTGGGGCTTGGGATTCCCGGTTCGGGGTCACCTAATCGCTGTGATAGCCTCCGATTGGCTATCACAGTGATCAGTCACTGTGAGCCCAGAGCTCAGTGTTTACTTCCTCTTCTGAATGAAGTGAAAGATACATTGTATCTTTCTTTTCTTCAGGAGAGGAACATAAAGAGTGTGAAAAAAAAGAAAGAAAGAAGGAACACTAGATCAAAGTTTGTCTCTAGGTGGAGTAACCCAAAGGCATCTTAATAGAGGAGTGTCAGGCTAGCAGATAAAACAGTTCAGATCTGCTGATTGTGCAGAAAGTTCAATAAATAAGAGCACATGCTTTGAGCAGGACTGTAAATAGAGCAGGCTGGCTAGTACTTGTAGTTCACTGCTGCAGATGTAGGTGAAACAACAATTCAATTGGTGTGTAGCAGGAGCAGGGCAGGGCAGGACATGCAAATTACAGTGGTGAGTCTGGTAACACTGAAGGGTCAGGCAAAAGCGTAGACTAGACAAGCAAATTTATACACAAGTATATCAGATTCCAAATGGTACCAAGTCAGTAGCAAGGAATAGCAGGGTCAGATTAGAAACAATATCAGCTGGGTCAAGCAAGAGCACACAAAGGTAGCTAGGCTATCACAAGCCCTGGTGGTGTGTTGATGCAGGTGTTTTAAAGGTGAATTATGATGAGCTGGCCAATCACCATGACTTTCCAGGCAAGGGGTGTCTCTGGTGAGTTCTTCTCTGTCTTAAAGGGAAAGCCTGAATCCTGGTACTGACATTGAGGTACAGTGAATGGGTACAGAAGCTAGAATGGTTCCATCAATTGTTGAAGCTTGTAAGACTACTGGAAAAGGTTCAGTCTCCAGGCAAGAGTCTTAGAAAACCTTCACAGTACTAATAGAAGTAGTAAAGTGCAAATGAATGGAAGGTCGTCCATAGGAGCAATGGGTCTCATGGTCTGGTGTGCACTACTCAACACACACTAGACAGGGATGTTTCCCGGCTTCTGTGGGCAATGCTTCGAGAAGCTTCCTTTGGCATGAGGGACCCAATTTCATAGTCTCCTCTGGGGAGGCAGAAAGATGATGGTAGTTTAAAGGGTTGCTGCAAATTTGAATTGAAACGGGGCATGTAGGGTTTGCACTGGTGGGTCCTATTGGGCACACTCTTGGAAGCAGATGTCATTTAGTATTATCAGAGAGAAAAGATCACCGAGATTGATAGGAATTTTAGGACCTGTAAGTTCATCCTTAAAGGGTAACTCCACTGTTGTGGGGAAAAATATAGAAAAAAAAATATATATAGCATATATAATTGTGACACAGGCCATATTGCTATTTAAAGTTATTAAATGTTACTGTTCCTTTTCAGTCTGCAGAGCTGTAATTTTCTGTAACATTCAATGCAATATGGGAACCATAAGGGTGCCTTGACAAAGCCAAAGGGGGGCACCTCCTGCCAAGGAGGCTTGCAAGTTCATTGAATACTTTTCTGAAGAGAACTAAGAATGATGTTATGTTATTAGTAACTGGAAGAAGTCTTTTCCAGAATGGTTCAGCCTACAACATCCTAGGGAGCAGGGAGACAACATAAGTCACTTTAGCATGGTCAGGTGAGAAATGCTGTGGCTGTAGAGCAAAGTAAATGCTACTTTAGTTCATAAAGCCATGACAGGCCTTTAGATCTGCAGAAAAATGAAAAGGTGGCAGTGCCACTCAGGGCACTGACTGCTGGGCAGTAGGTGGTGGAGACAGGGCCAGCTGTTCATGTGCTGCAGCAAGGTAGGCTTGGATTTGATCCAGGCAATTGGTGAATGAAGAGAGGTGCTGTGATGCAGCATCTGAACTTGGGTACCTTTTATAGGCAGAAAGCATTTGAAAGAGCCCCTCATTTAGACCCACAGGTTGCTGTGGAGACTCATACATGTTGGTTCAAACAAACTGGCATGAATTTGAACTCTGCTCCCGCTAGGGGAATGTAGCCAACCAGGATAGCAGCTGGGCAGAAGGTGGAAAAAGCCACAGAGTAGGAGTAGAGCGTTTGGGGTGCCCACTCAAATAATGAGGATGAGAGCCCTGAGAAAAGCCGAGGTTCAAAGTCTTAAGCATAGTACACACTATGAGAATATTAGACAAACAATCATCTGATTTTCCATGAAGATACATATCATGATGTAAGTGAGAATGATATTAACTTGCATGAGAATTCTCGAACGACAAAGACAAATGTAGCTACTTACTAATGTATCATGAATATTGTCACAGAAAAAAAATATGCCACTGCTCACTCAGAATACGAAAGTTCTTGCGTGTGTTAAATTTTTGTTTTCATTGCTCTCTTCTTTCAGGTCGTTCTTTGATTCTGAGCAGGTAATTCTTTTCAATTATTTCTGTACGATAACTGTACACATTGAATGAAAATCGGATGTTATGTTAACAAACAAGAAACATTTTCTAGCTTGCACCTTCATTTTTTTGCGTATGAACAGTTAGAGCTGTCAAAAGCACTATACTAAAAATTAAAATCCATTTTTCCCCTATGTCTCATATCTTGGAATATGAGGGACTTACATAAAAACCAGGCATATTGTCAGATTGGCCAAGAGGAGACGAACAGTTTGATAGGTCACTCTCCTTGGCTGGAATACATAGGAAAGCAGAAAAGTAGATCTCGTGAATTTCAAATTTCATGTCTAATCAATCCTCAGATGTGTCTGCATAATAATCTACCTGCGGGTGGAGTGTCACTTGTGCATAGGAAAAGTTATGAGCCAAAATATGAACTAGAAGAGATTTTGGCTTTAGTTTAGGTCTATGCCCAGACCTTCCCGCCCTAAATTGGGTATTGGTCCTTGACTTCAGAAACACCCCCTGCTGGGGAACTACAAAATGAGCTGTCAGGCCTAAGA